GGGTTATATATAAACGCCTGTGATTCCCTTACCAAATGTGATTCGTGTCCAGTGGACTAGAGAAAATATATCGTGAACATTTCCTGAAGAACTGACTTTTGACAAATAGGTAGCTCTATCCTTTTAATATCAGCTGTTAAATTCTCCGTTGACTGTGATTACTTCACCCATCCTTTTTGGTGTATTTTTACGCAATCGACTTCTACACATGAGTGGGCATCTCATTCCCGGCGTGAGCAAAGCAGTCTATCCAGACTAGGAAAGCATTAGCCATTTTAATCTTGCAAGTCGCATGACCTCAGGAGCTGGGGTTCACCTCGGATGAGTGAATTGGTCATAGCAGTATTTATAGCTAAGCCGTTTTGAACTCACGAAGGTACCAGCCTGATGAGAGTTACAATCATTATCTTGCAGTAAACAGCTATGGATTATTGTTGTTAGCAACATACGCTTTCTCTCAGATGACTACATCATTTAGCACTGCCATTTTGTTGCAAGATAATAAGGCTGCTTGTTCAGTTCATCCGTGTTGCACTACATAGATATCCCGGTAAATGGGCTATCATCATTGCGTTAAAAATTGCATCACTTTTCACCATTTTAGCCGTTTGTGAAAGTGCCTCAAAGTAAACCATGCTTCGCATGTCCAAATAATAATGCATCACTGTGAACAGTGCCATAAGCAAAACCTCACTGCCCACAGTTGGACGAGGATTCATGTAGGAATTGGTGAGACAAGATTTCGGTTTTGGTCGTCGAACGTGGACAGAGCGTTTGCCTACAGAATAACCACAATCAACTGTGGTTTTATTTTTGAACTGATTGACATGAAAAAGTGTGAAACGAGTAATATATCATAGTGCAGTCTGGTAATGATGAGCATTTTTAGTAGCTCTATGTTGACACCTTTGCTCCCGTAACATTGATAATCAACGAATAAAGAGAAATAGCAAATTGGTTAGTTGTCTAGAAGAACAGAGATTACTTCTGACGATCAACTATCACCCCATTACCCGGTGAAAAAAGATAAACAACCAAGCATTCTCTACACGACCACTACCACTACTCACCAACACAATCCGGGTCGGGGACAGACGCAAAATGTTGAATCACATCTCGCATCAACCGCAGTCCGGCCATGCGCAACGGTTCACAATCTGACGTTGCGGACATGAAGGCCATCCGGATCAGATCGGCCAAATGAAGGACGAGCCAATCAGACGAACCGGGAGGATTAGTTGATTGTCGCAAACAACGTGCCAATGCAAGATCGAAGTGGGCCACCGAATTCGGATCCGACAGTCCTCGTGGAGTGCTCGGGGTAAGAGCGGCATCGTCTGAATTTGCCACATCATCCACTGGACTCACGCTGTCCGTATTCGCTGTCGGAGCAAGACTGATTAGTGTAGAGTTGGGCGAAGTTGCAGCCATGTGAGCAGCACGTGCACACGCAGAGATTAGGATACGCACACAGGACACGGCGAAAACTCGGGTGGACCACCTAAAAAATAAAAGTACGAAGAAAAGGTAGCTTAGGCGATCAAAGGACATACGAATTCCCTCTAATAATAATGTTAATGCATTGTTCCTGTAGTTGTCTGTAAAAACGTTCGATTGGAACACAGTTCTAACCGTCCCCTGCTTCTTATTGGTCTTCAATTATTTTCTCTTCTTGTCTGTCACGTGCATGGGTTTAAATTCGATGAAGTTTTCGTTCCAATCAATCTATCCTGTAGCGTGTCGCAACAATTTCGCAACATCGTTTGACATCCCGCAGGTTAACAAATGAATCGGTGGACAGTTTGACACGCGCGATGTTTCCAACCGCACTGGCCACTGGGTTTGGTGGTTGTTCCACAGGGACAGGCGGTCTAGAACCGCAGGGCATTCGGTTTTCACTGTGCTTGAAACAGTGAACGATGCATTGCGTTTCGAATGTCTACTATATACATTTTTATTGTTCATCCGTTGGCCGGAATTATATTTTCTCAGTGAAACAAGGCACACACACACGATCAATTTGTGATCCATCGGGTTCATACACATTGAGGCAATTAGGAAACCAAGTAACTGCAGTGCACGATGCTACGGGAATGCTCCCCGCGCGATTCGCATCTGGCGAACGAAAATCGAGCGTGGTGATTTTCAACGTTGAGTCGCGCAAATGTTTGCAGCAGAAAAACTGAGCATGACCTGAGATGAAACCGAAAGACGTCAGACAGAGCGGGAGAGAAATTTTCAATAGTCACTTTGATAGAGAGAGAAAGCTGCACCATCTACTGATCCCAAGTATTTTTCGTCTTGGTCAACTGAAATTCATACCAAATATCTGAGGGTATCAAAATCATCTAAAAACCATCTTACAAATTGTGTTTATGACTACCTGACTGTCCTCCATTTTGTGTATACTCAATCACTTGGTTTTACGGAACAATATGCATAGGCTGCACATTTAGGCAACTTTCCGAAAGGACCCGTACACACCAACATGAGTAGCTGAACCCTGGAACGCGTAATTCACTGGGTGATGCAGTGGTTTTACCGCTGATTGGAATACATGACCTTGCACGTGGGCGAGGTATTTCGGTATTTTTATGATTCGTGGTCGACTATCACGACAGGTTCTCTGTCCACTGTTAACCACAGTAGAAGCGATAAGAATTTGTTTGCACAACTGTTATATGTATGCCCAAAGCTATTTGTGAAGACACCTTATCTCCTGAGGCCTAACAGTGAGTAATTTATGAGAACGAATGAATGAACTAAAACAATCCGATCGCTATGGATGCCATATCTAGTATTAAGATAAAACTATTCACCCGCTCCCGGTTACAGCTGATGCAAAGTTTTATCTACTTAAATCAATTCCATGCTCGAACATTGAAATCCTGAGTGTATTAAGAGTGGGCGTTTTGGATTGTAATTGGTCAATCATTCCTCGTATATCACCTTATGGTCCTTTGCGGTCAAGCTTCTCATTTAACCTCAGCTAAGGAACCCCAACTCTCACCAAATTGGGAGGACGAGCTAACATCCGACTCGAAACGAAACTAGCAGAGGCATACAAACAACAATCACAGCTTCTAAATTATAGAAACGGACACCGAATTGATCGGGTATCGACGTCGATTGGGTGTCCTACACGTGTGATCCTGTTCAAAGTGCGTAGGATGCAATGGACTGGACACCGGCCTCCAATGATTTATGGTTTTCATGTACTACAACGCTACCTTGGAGATTATATATATATATTTAAACACCAAAAAAAATATGGGTACAAAAGCGGGGAAATAAAACAGCCAACTTTGGGCTTTGGTTAGTCAAAGGTTCCAATTGTGAATACTTCAAGAAAGTTTACCTGCTTTGGCCTGAGCAAAATGACACTTACGCTGGCCTCCAAAATAGTAATCAATACATTTATTCGTCAAAAAGATGATTGTACTGTGATTTATATGTCGGTGGTGTTCCGGTGGTAAAGGTCACTCCGGTTATCACCCCGGAAGACGTGTTCGAATCCCACTATCATTGTATAACTTTCCCATTATTTGTTGTATAACAGCCGCTTCCTCCTTCCTGAAAATTGTATATTTATATGGTCAATAAAAATGAAAATCCAGATAGAACCAGAATCAATATCAATTCCTCTGAGATCCCCAGTCAGTCACCTAAAAAGCCAAAGAAGAAATTCCAGTTTCATGAATGCTCATTTCAAGCTACTAATCTGCCTATGGCAGATATCTGTAACAATTGCAAACGTTGGAAATGGAGGTATACACTTAGGTCTCCGACTAATTTGGGGTCTAACAGATACTGATAAACCAAGATATATGCTGATTGATATTATGATTTACTGGGATACTCGCAAATCCTTCAGAATAGGCTTCTTCGTCATAAGGTGCTTTGTTTTACTGTTGAGACGAACCCGAATTCGGTGAACACGCAGAATGATGAACAACTACCTTGACCAAACGATACACAGTCACTTCGACCAGTTTGGTACTCATATACACGCACGGGATCGAATAAAATCGTAAGAGCCTCCGCTTGTGTTCCTCTCGCTTCTGCTGTATTAGACACAAGGTAACTACTGATTAACGCACAACGATAATATAACACGGACGGAAAGCTTGCTGACGTGGCCATGTGCTTTTTGCATCAAAGAGGCGAATGTGAGTGCGTTACATTCAAATTCCTGAGTGACTGCGGTGGAACCAACGGTGATTCGATGGGTCTAGATTCACCACAGTTTTGCCGCAAATAAATGGGTGTTGATTTTTAACAGTTACGCATAACAGACAAGGCGATTCTAACGGAGTGTGAGGACAGATGGCTGCTGCGTCTTGATACTGCTTTGGAGATGCAAAATACGGCGTTAAATATTCATCTATTACATTTTATAAATGAGAGCCTATGATATCCCGAATATAATTAGTGTTTGCATTAGTTAGAACGAATGTGAAGAGGTAGATGAGATTTGTGGCTGTCTGAACAACAAAAAGTATGTAATTCAAAACCCACAATAAAAAAATGACCCAAATGGAATTGCAACACCTCGTTAGACGGTGATGGGAAATAGTATGCAGACGGCGAGCCGTTTATCGATCCAACGAATCGATAAGTAAAGTGAGGGAGAAAATAAAGAACAGATCGGACGAAAAAACATCAGCCATTGTGTAATCATGCCTCCACGTCAGTACCAACTGGGACTGGAACAATGGAATTTGACGATAAGATGGAGTTGGGATTGACTTAGACAGACAATAGAATGATGTTCTGTTTCGTAAGGGCGCGTTTCCTAATTCATTTACGAGACTATCAGGGCTCTAATGAATTTAACGCTTTCCCGGGGTTGGTATATGAGTTCGTTGCCAACTAGAATGTGTGCGCGTGCATGTATTTGCGCACGACAATAAACACTGAGACGATTTGAATTATACAGTTTCAAAAGGCAGAGGGGAAATTAAAGGTACTGATTGCCTGTGACTGTCATATTTGCAATGAAAAAGGTTGCTTCTTTGCGCCCACTACATTTGATGAAATAGCAGCACTGAGGACAATCGAATTGCTTGAGGTGGTCAGTTTTCAAAACTTGTTATGTTCGATGTGAAGTTAGGGTCTTAAACACTGAATTAGAGAGTTTACACATCTTCAAAAGTGGCGCAAAAGACGTGAATGGAATCATGTTGTAAAAAAATAAATATGGAGAAACTGCATCTGTAATCTGTCGGCGGACGGTGCGTGGTGACCAACCTGCATTGGTAAGTGTTTGAATCCCATCGCAGATTCTCAAATTCTCTACTGTATCAGACGGAATTGGTACATCGCAGTCTGCGTGTTGGAAATTGATTACACATTCCTGTACCAAATTAGAAAGAGAACGATTGATAAACCGAAAGAAACTGCTAACTCTAAAGCGGGCAGGTTTGTTTCCTTTATCATTTTGCAAGCCAAGTGTCCAGCGGGGCAAACATTCGGGGATGACTTCATCGCTAAATACGCGTCAGCCGATCCCTCAGTAGCGGACACTTCCAGGTACAAATCATACTGAGATGATTCAAGATGTTTTCTACACAGAAATATTAACAAGAATCTGCCTGACGGGATGTGGCTGTTTGGGGAAAAAAATTCGACTGATTCGTTTCATACTGATTGGACTTGTGAGTGACAGAATGATATAGGTCTAATAGCCATCTTGATCGTGCCCGCACACAGGCCGAATAGATACAATAATTGATCCCAAAGAAGTAATCTACCTTGAACTCATTTTTAGACCAGTTTGAGCGTCCCCTGAGGATTCAGCAGTTTTCGCACCCAGATTGATATCAGCATCGACTTCTTCGTCATCTGCGTCATCCGTTTCGTCCACAGCACGATTATGTAAAGTGGGATCAGTGTTTGGGGAATCAAACGTATTCCCGGAACCGACATTTGAGGATGATGCGCGATTATCTGCCGGATCCGATCGAGTGTCTAGGGCAATTCCGTTCTCCCGCCCTGATAGTTTGATCACGGTATTGCAGGCAGTCTTATCGACTGTCTTGGCCTATTTGACATCAAGCAAGGATAAGGGAAATACTTCAAACATAAATAAAACAAGAAAACAACAACAACACAGCACTCTGAGTAAAAATAAAAATTGTTCAATAGCACTATCAAGTACATTCTATCGACCGGGAGAAAGCACTTCTTGCCGCGCATTTCTGGAAACTTTGGCGATGTGCTGAATAAGATACGGATGAGAGTAAACAATAAAGCTGACAGTAGCAGAAAGGCATTGAAGATGCAAGTTAGTTATTTTTCAATATCCTTGAATGAGCGCCTAATAATTCAGTTAAGGATATTGCAGCAAACAATCGAAATGGGTAAAACGTGTGGCACCTTGTGTTTCAGCATCGATGTCAGTAGAATCACTGCATTTAGCCCCAGAGTATGGGCCAACATCCAGCAATTGCTAATGACAGGCATTCATTCCATCTCATATTCGTCAGACAGTGCTGTGTAATCAATAACCAAGAGGAACAATTCTGATTGACAATGGAGTACTACATGAATCAGTACTGTAACCATCCCACAACTATGAGCGTGGTAAATGTGCACCTCGTTTACACCACCACTAAAGTAGGGCTACGTGATATACCATTCAGTGCGACCAACAATCTATTGGGATGTGATTTGCAGGGGAAAACAGTTGACTGATAGGTTGTTATTATTTCTCTCTTTTCCTAGACACTTTCTTCTCACTGAATGTTATTTTCATCATTTTGGAAAAGTTGATGCCATGTTTAACCCATATATGTGTGTATACATGGCAGTAACAACAACTAGGTAATCTTTTGACACGCGATAAAATGAATTTATGCTCGATTCTGACGATAAGCAGAATGGTTGTGCAAGGACGATTCAGTCTATAGGACTGATCTTGTGCCAGTGACTAATTCGTGCAATAAGCTGGCACATGATCAGGGAGGACTCAGATAACCACCTATATCGCAGTCACCGTGGCTGGTACGGAACCGGAACTGTCGCGATCTAATCGCACACTAACTTTTCAACTTCAAGTGAATCCAACCACGGTGACTGCGATATAGGTGGTTA